GGAAAGAGGAGGGGATCATTGCTGATTGTTGAGTAGCATGGCGACATTTGTTGGAAGATGATGATCCAGTCGTCAGTTTCCATATTCGAGATGATAGTGAGTCTTTTCATTTCAATGTACATCATAGATGAAGCTGTTGTTGATCATACGAGACCTTCTGCTCCTCTCTGGACCATCGGCAACGACCGCTCGTCTCTTGTCTTTATCAACAGGCCACGTCCTCTGGGAACGACCACTACATGCAGATAGTGAACCGGCCAAACTCACTGTCCCCGCTCATTTGGGAACCGACGCCGCATTCACAGATGAGGTAGACGGTTCGGTAGTCATTCTCAGTGATGGAAGGCGAGTGAGCAAATTGGCATTGAAAGATGGGACACCCCTGTGGAGTCTAGATGCTCCTGGTGTAGGGTATGTTGGACCTTGAAACGTCGTTCAAACTGATGCATCTATACGTAAAGCTCAACAGTACTGTTCAAGCAAATTCTAGTCTCGGGTGATACCGTACATGTCCTCGCCTTGACCTCAGGATTCAGGAGTAACACACTCACAACTCTCTCACTATCCCTCACTACCTCGGCACCTCTAGGCGACTTTACCCAAATCCCTGGACAAGTCATCATCCCCTCTGAAGGACTTTTGGCAGCTTCATCAACCCCCGGTGCAGCTCGAGTACTATGGTTCGAATATAACCGTATTCGTTCGGCATTTTTGTCCCCTCAAGGACAACTAGGCGAAGTCAAAGAAATTTTCCCAGCCAAGGGAAGAGTATTCAAAGGGCTGTTTGATGTTGGTCTAAGAAACAGGGGATATATATTGGGCAAAGCGGAAGATGGTGCAGTGAGCATTGTGGATGTCAGACAAGGTGCTGCCGTTGTGGATACATTCGAGTCATCAGTGAGTTTCGTTGGGTCAAGTCATGAAATAAATGTTGATGATGTAGAACGACTCGCCTGAGAGGTCAGACTCGATTTATTCAGCTTCTGTCAGTAAAGACGGAACAATCATCATCAATCGCGTGTACTGGTCATTCAAATTGAATGTGAGCTCCTATGAGAGGTACCCCGCTGATAAGTCTAGCTTGGCCTTGCACAGAATAACCAGATCACAAAAGGAGGCACAGCTATCTCAAGTGGCTTTACCTTCCCCTTCGATACCTCGTCTCACGGTGTTATTCTTGGAGTACGTATTGCATATGAGCGCAACTAAACTCTAGGCTGCCGTGTCAAGCACTGTCAACGCCGCACAACTACCTGTCTTGATGCTAACTACATCGTCTGGGGCTCTCCAACTCATCCAGGGCTCCTCTCAAGTAACGGCAAAATGGACTCGGGAAGAAAGTCTGGCTGAAATTGCCGAAGTTCGATTCATCGAGCTTGGTGAACCGGAAGTAGAAGAGGTTAGGCATCTCTTGGCGGATGAATCGTTCTTTGGGAGATTGACTCGTCATATTGCCGAGTTCCAGGTAAGCCTACCGCAGTCGGCTACGCTGACGATCAGGCTCTGCCAAGCTATGTCTTCCGCTTTGTTCGAAGGCTGTTCTTCGCTTCATACACCTCGGCACAACTTACCAAGCCTCTCACGCCGTCAACTCTACATCGCGACCAGTTTGGATTCCAGAAACTCGTCATAGCCGTAACGAAGGGTGGCAAAGTCTTTGCTCTCGACTCGACCAATGGGAATATCTTATGGAGCAAGAACCTCGGCTTATCTAACGTGAATGGGAATGAGCTGAGCGTCGAAGGTGTATGGGTCGTCAGAGGACTTGGGGATACTGGGAACCCTCAATTTAGTGTACTGGCTGTGCGCACAAAACAATCAGGCCAGGAGGTATGTCATCATCCGATGCAAAGGGTTTTTACTGATCGGCAGACAACGGTGGCGTATACCGTGGATGCGTATACTGGCGATGTTACAGGCGGGACGAATGAGCTTGGCCTCCCGGCTGGCAAAGAGTTGTTTGACGGAAAGTCGCAGACAGCCTTCCTGCTGCCCTTTGAAAACTGCGGGAGCAAGAATCGCGTCCTGGCCGTGTTGGACTCGGCATCCCAGGTGAGATGAAGCCAGGCTCATCAAACGAAAGCTCACAAGGCCAGCTTTACATATACCCGTCATGCAAAAAGGTCGCATCAGATTTGGCAGAGATCAAAGACAAGCTGTTCTTTACCACGTCTTCGCGTTCCATTGATTCCACAACGCTAGTGGGCTCGTCGCCCTCCGTACTTCATGACAACATCACGTTCTCCACCACACCTCTCTGGAGCTCGCTACTTGGTCCGGGAGAAACCATCCTCGAAATAACTCCCGCCGACATGTCAACTGTCGCCTCGTACGGTCGCGTCTTGGGGGACAAGTCGACTCTGTACAAGTACCTCAACCCGCACTTATCTGTGGTCACTTCTTTCACCCCAGCAGAGAAGCTCAGCCACGTCTACGTTATCGATACGACGACCGGACAACGGGTATACGGTATAGAGGTGCAGGGATCGGGCATCAAAGCGGCCATGGTGGAGAATTGGCTTGTCTTTGCCTGGGCTGAAGCAAGTGGCTGGAGAATTGGCAGTGTGGAGCTATACGAGACTCCCGACCTGTGAGTTGGTGCTCGGGATGAATTAAAGGCTCAGGCTAATCTTCAGATCTTCATCGAGTTCGCTGCCTGTTGTCAAGTCGATCTCGGAGACTTTCATCATACCTGGTGAAGTCAGGGCGATTGGATTCACTCGATCCAAATTTGGTATAACCGCCAAAGAGCTCGTTTGTAAGTCAGATGAAACGACATTCAAATTTCGAAAGCACTCAGTGACTGATTGTAATAGATGTGAATGGCTTAAACCAAGTTGTCACTGTCCCACGGCGCTTGCTCGACCCTCGACGTCATGTTGGCAAACCCACCGCAGGCGACAAGGAGGAGATGCTGATCCCGTACGACCCATTTATCGGCATTGACCCTAAACGGGTCATCTCTCATCAAAACCAGGCAAGTCTCTCTGTCCACATCTCCCACATAAACTATACTGATATCGACCTCCATTAGGTACTGGGAGCAAATCATCTGGAATCATCACCTGCACTAGTGGAATCAACGTCCCTCCTCCTCGCTTATGGACTAGACCTATTCCTAACTCGCGGTCTCACACCGTCGGGCTCATTCGATATTCTCTCGGATAACTTCAACAAGGCACAATTACTCTTGACGCTTGCTGGGCTCACGGGAGGGATTTTGGTAGCTGGGCCTGCTGTCAGAAGAAAGAATCTCAGAGCGAGATGGTATTAGATGTCTGTCTACATGCATGACCGTTTCTGAAGCCCGCGTCCCATGTTTGGACAGGAAGACCAAGCCTCGAAAGGAGAAACAGTGCCACGAGTGTATGGCGCGCATCTTCTCGTATTCAGCCGTCGGATTTGATCACCTCCACTAACTCAAATGACCCAACAAAGGCAGCTCTCAATCGAGTATGGCCAAACAGGAACAGAGCGAGTCAAGTTTGAAATCAGCAATGGAGTTGCTGAGTCCAAAGGATTGATCCTAGAACGTGAGGAGGGTAGTCCCTGGCATTCGCAAACCAACTAATGGTAGATACATGCGCTCGACGGGATGATATATATATATATATATACATCAATTTGCTTGTCATATTGGAAAGAGCTTATAGCTTCGCGCTGAATACGTCAGTCATGACTGGTCCAGCTACGAAATAGGCTCACGTCAAATACTTGTCCCACTCTTCCTTTCCCCATGACGAGCTGACGCTGTCATCCTTTAGCCCGTCAAAGAAAGCGGTCGGCTCAAGGGAAATGAGCGTGTAATTTTGAAAATGATGGGAATAGACTCACGGTGACATGGACTGCATTCTGCCTTCCAAGTTTGACTGACACGTTCGTCAGCTACACTGCACTATGAGAAGAGGCTCGACTGACTCAGATACTTCATATCCACCGTTCCATCGTTTCCGCCATTGATATGTCCGTCGCTTGAGGCTTTGACGTCAATCTTGTCGCGGAACTGGCCAAAGACCTGTGATTTAGGTCCTTGTCCGAGCTTTCCGTTCTTCTCAAGCACGTCTACGGCGATCTCAGAAAGCTGGTCACGGACAGTGTTCGGCGTAAGAGTGTTGGCAGGAACGTTGAAGAAGGTACGTTGGTTGTCGAAGATCTGCTTTCCGTAAGCAACCATCCGCTACGAATGACCTTGGAGCTTACGGCAGTAGTGTAGGGCCAGAAGAGATTAGGGTACAGTTGGCCAAAGACAATCATGGCTTCAACGACAATAGCACTCATGTAATGGCTGCAAGCAACGACAATCAGCGTCAGCCGTATGTTGGGAAATGACGTGGATCTCACAAAGGCTGGGGATACAGTCGAGCAATCACGCTCAGCTTGCCATCGTATTTGCCTCCACCAGATAGATGAGGGATAACATTCGCTGTGAGTGATTTCTCAATCTTGGCGCTGAAGGGGCAAAGGGGGTCGAGGTAGCTGTCCGAATCAGTCCATGCCTCACGATACTTTGACCCAGTGGAAGTAAGCCCGCTCACACTTCCAGTACCTGTGAGCCAGTCCCTTGGCGCAAGAAGGAGAGAGTACGAGGTAGAGCCATTGTAGTTGCTTGCTTGCTTGCTTGCTTGGATGACTTGGACTATGTATAAGATGGATGATGGTGTAATCGTCAGAGGGAGTCCTGCGAATCCCAAACGCCGTTGAAGTAACCGGCTCGGTAATCCGGCGATCACCGCATTCCAAAGGTACTCACCAAAATATGTCAGATAGGTGGCTTCAAATACGGCAAACTGTCTTGAGGTACAATAGACCCCCATGGACTATTAGTCTTTAGGGGAGGTGATATCGGCGCCCCCTGGAATGCTATAATACTATCACTCACGTATCGCGCAGCATCGCGAGAACTTGTTGTGCGAAGGCAAAAGGGCATATCAAGAGGAACTTGCGAAGTCTGACAATAGTGCTGTTCATACGCTCGGTAAGAAAAGCATTCCAACAAAAAATGTCCCTTGGCCCAGTAGGTAAGGCGTCCGACTGTTAGTCACACAACTCAATCGGAAGATCGAGAGTTCAAGCCTCTCAGGGACAGATTATATCTTTTCCTTTTTTTTGTTGTTTCTTTTTCTTTGAGATGTCCTACCGTTTCCTACCGTTTCTTTTCCGGATGAGCAATCGGGCTTTCTTGAATAGTACTAGCCAAGTGCCTAGACTCTGGAAATCTGTAACGATCGAAGAGACCTGACGTCGCGCTTAGCCGCAATTGCACGCAAGTCACTGGTGCTGCCCAGCTGCAAGATGTGCCACGTTCGTTTGATAGCAGTCATTGCGTGCACCATCAAGGATCAGGGCTACTTCGTTGGATGCAATAGCATGGAATGCGCAACATGTGTTACTCGTGCAAAGTTGACGTTGAGGTGCATGTCTTACTTGATCTTTGCCTCGTGGAGCGGGATCAAAAGTAGGCCAGAGTTTATTGTGGTCCAGTGCTAGTTTGTACGCGTTTGTTGTCTGGACCTCGTCTACTCGACTACATACCCCACTCGCCATGGCGGTAAATATCAAACAACTGCGATACGTGGCCTTTGCAACACTAGCCATAACCGTGGCCTTTGTATTATACATTTCCCTGGCGACTCCAGACACAATAACGACGACCTGGAATCGTTTTGCTCAGCCTTACGTTCAGTCGAGCGATTATGGTTCGGGATATAACGAAGCTCCTTCAGAAATGGCCGAGCTGTTTTCTGGCCTGAACCTCGCTCATGAGAATCACCGAGAGATCAATCATCGGAATCTGAGGGATTTGCATTCGTGTTTGGCATTAAGGAGGTGTGGAAAGAATCAGAAGAAGGTCGTTCTTTTTGCGGAGAACTATTTTAGGGATTCCATGGTGAGTCTTGTTTTTTTGGTATCCGTCGACAGTATGGGTAGATGCTCGGTCGAGTGGGCTGGGTAGAAGCTGGATCGAGGTTTTAAATCGTCGCTCGGTTGAGTGTTTCGCTCGATAGATGCTTCGTCGAATAGGTTGGACAGACGCTGACTATAGGACAGATCAGAGGTTGGAGAGGAGGAGAACATGTTTGGTGAGTGATAGTGCTGTTGATAACTGCATCAGTTGAGCTGATGATCGCAGGGCACTGTCAATGGCAAGTTTCAAAGTGGAGCTTTTGAACGTCCTAACGGTAGTAGGAAAAAGCAGTGCGGCAAATGGGGTACACTTACTTGGTGTCGATTGATCCAGGTGCGCTTTGCGTCTGAAAAGGAGCTGACTATCAGCCGAGACGCTCGAACAGTATCGAATGTTCCCAGATATGGTCAAGGTGGTCATCGGAGCTGGATGTCTAGAGGCCGAGGGGTGTATCATGACAGAGGAGAATCCGACTGGGATACCTCGATGGAAAAGTGAGTGAACATGAAAGATGACACTGATGATCTAGTGTGAGAAATTAGGCCTGATATGACTAATGACTTAGCTTTGATATGACTTTCTTCCCTTGGGGTGGAAATACCGAGAACATCGGGTGGGAATGGGCTGTTCATGCCGAACGGTGGGGAGAGAAAGACCCGACTCATGAGACGCTGCATTATATTGGGTGAGTCAGAATGTCCTCTCGAGCAATAGCTAAATGAGCGCAAGATACTCGATGGACGATCAGTGTCAAGCGGTCACATTCGTCCCACACGACGAACGGCCTATGTCCGCTTGGTTCTATAGCAAACAAGCGACCTGTACGTATTGTACATGTTCTTCGGATCCTTGCTGATGGGCGTGCAAGACTTCTATTCAGATCATCCAGAGTTTGGCTGGAACCGAAGTTATTTCGAACTAGCGACGGAAGCACTGAAGGATCACAACCTGGAGTTCCGGGGGGCGTATCAGATTGACTATACTTTCTTGCCGGCGAGTCTTTCTGTCCATGACGCATCACAAATGCTCACTCGAGTAGGAGAGAATAGCGGAACGGCCCATGGAGCCTATTCCTGGCGTGACGAATCTGGGCAAGATTGGCCCAGAGCTCTTCACGGAGGAATTGGCAAAGTCTAGGGTCCTAGTCGGCATTGGACAGGTAGGATTTAGATTCAAGCCTATGCTGATATAGTAGCCATGGCTTGCTCCATCCCCATATCTCGGTCTCTGCCTGGTATGTCGACAACTTGAGCCAGAGTTGACGCAACAGGGTATACCGTTCCTCAATGTCGTGAAATACTGGGACGCGGATAATCCCGACGACAGGACAAAGTGGATGTCTCAACACGATGTCCTGATGGGTTTGGAACCACCGTCAGTCTTCCAGACGTTAGTGACGTTGAGCTGATCGGAATATTTAGATATGTGTATAACGTCAAGGCGGGCGATTATGACGGTTTTGTAGCAGCTATCGAGGCAGCTATCACCACGCCGACACCGCCTTATGAGGATCCTGAGATGACAGAGGAAGCAGTGAGAGAACGGATGCGGAATCTGATAGAAAGGGACTGGAAGGCTCTGGCCGCGGAGAGGTGGAATGAGATGAGTGAACAAGGAAGGGCACCGGTATGTTGTTCTTATTGCTTGATTCCTGGGTGCGGTGCGCTAATCAGTCAGGAATGGGTGCTGTGAGATTTCGGATTCTCCGAGAGAGGTTTGGGGGATGATCTCTGGGCAAACTGAGTGGGTGGTTAGTTGATCTCTGCGCAGCCTGGACACTTTGGCATGGGTTTGTACACTTTACATGCATCTCTAGACTTGAGCATTTGAGTGATGAGACTGATTACGTCCAGCTTGACCGGCTAGTATTGACGGTGACATGTGATATGGCATTCGATTCTGACCGAGCAAGGTCGAGGTTCATGACGTCAGATTTGGATTTGCATCGTTTCAGAAGCACGCTCGAGTGTCAAGGTGGTTGTTAATCACCAGACAGGAGGATATTTGAGCACGAATAAAGCGTTGTCAATTCAACCTCCACAGCCAGTTCATCACAACAACTTGACCACAGCACGTAAACACGTACAACACAACAACTTGGCCAGCACACATCCACACATCATCAACCTGATAATCACTACAACGAAAATGTCGTACAAAGACCCGTCGAGCAACCCTTCTATCGAGCTAGACCCGCTTCACAATGGCGCGACAGTTCGACGTGCCTTTCTCCTTGAAGCGATCTTGAACCTCTGTTCGTTCCCGCTCTTGACGCACCCTCACATCGTACTCCCCTACATCCTCAAACATCCTGACCAACTAAACACCTCTACCCTCCTCTTCGCTCGTCTATTTGGCGGTCTGATTATCGGAGGTCTCACACCGGCTCTACTCGCTGGATATCCCAATACGCGCAACGCCATAGAAAGCAGAAAGACAGTTTATATCTTACTTGGACTAGGCGAGGTGGTTCTCATCCCTCTTCTTTTGCTTGAGGGACTCAAAAGTGGAAAACAACAGGCATTGACCCTGAGGGCGACTATGGGCGCTGTGGCATGTTTGGCACCCCCGCTGCTGTGGAGGATTTATGTTTTGTTTTGGAACAAGGGCTTGTTGGGTAGGTATAGGGAGGTCAAACAGGATTAAGGCTGGAGGATCATGCAGGAATAGGCGTGATAAGTCTGTACATAGGGTATCAATATGTATGTATGATATAGGTTGATGACAAGGCTGTTCCTGGGATGATGTATAACATTTGGGTTCATGAAAGATCTGTGAATGACACGATGCATGTATAGGCCGAGGAGAATTGTGAAGAGAAAGAGAAGTGTACTCAAGTTTGTTGGCTGAGAACGGGGTCAACGGGGTTTGCGTCTTGTCATGTAATCGTCAGCGGTTTCATAAGCTTGCATGACCCCGATGCCCCATGCTTGATAAGCTGCCGTACAAATTCAGCTGCATGCATTACCACAGCTTTCATCCTCTTATGACTTTGACTCGGCTGCAAAAGGCAACATCTCAGGTACTCAAGTTTGTTGGCTGAGAACGGGGTCAACGGGGTTTGCGTCTTGTCATGTAATCGTCAGCGGTTTCATAAGCTTGCATGACCCCGATGCCCCATGCTTGATAAGCTGCCGTACAAATTCAGCTGCATGCATTACCACAGCTTTCATCCTCTTATGACTTTGACTCGGCTGCAAAAGGCAACATCTCCCCCGGCGGCCGGCGGTGTCTGAGCCGGATCCAGTTAACGTTAGAATGACGTCGTGATTTCATTTTTCGTATTGTCTCAGTAAAAAGAGAAAGCGTTTTCAGTCTCGCAGCTTTACATCCCTTCCCTTCCTTCATTCCTTTCTTTCGCATCCTTCTTCTTCTCCTTCTTCCTCTTCTTCTCGCCTTTATTCACTCATCATGGCTCGATTACCCCTATATCTCAACACTCGGACAGTCTCATCGCACCTATGTGAGTCGGTTTTAGCCGAATAACAGCTGATAGCTAGTCTTTGGACCTTACATCTTTCTGCCCCTCATCGCTGGATGTGTGTGGCTTGCTGAGATTCTCGCACTGCTCGCTACGTGGGTGAAAGATGGCAAACCTAAATATCGCAGCGACGAGGCGAGTGTGGTGTTCATCTCGGATGTAGGAGGGATGCACAAGGTGAGTCAGACTTGCAGCTAGGTGAGAAGAGTATAGCTGACATGACATGTTAGCTCCTTTTCATCATCATGAGCTCTGTAACTGTTGGGTTCTACATCTCGTCTTTGTTCGCCGAACGATGGTTGAGGCATGTAGATCGTCTACCTGTGGATCTCCGACTAAGAGAGAAGGTCTTTGGTGAGTCACCTTGAACCGATGAACAAACAAGCTTGTCAAGGCTGAATTATATGTGTTTCAGACTGGATGGCCATCGTCTTTGGTATCATTGGCAGTGCCGCTCTGGTCCTGCTTTCTGTCTTTGACACGTTCAACCACTCTGGAATCCACTGGAGCATGACGCTAGTCTTCATTGTCTGTGTAGCGCTATCAGCCATCTTTCAATCAGCCGAAGTGTGGTCATTACACAAAGATCACCCAGACCGAGCTCATCTTCTTCGGAACGCGATCATAAAACTGCTCGTAATTCTCCTCGCTATCGTCAGTGCCATTGGCTTTGGTGCGACATACGCCGTATGCGGTGGTA